TAGTCTATCTACGTCAAGAGAAAGACCCATGAGGAGTCTTGCTCCTACCCCCAGGAAGCCGCTCCACCAATAACTGCGCTTTGGGTGTCCTTCTGAGACTGCTGATGGACAAGATGGATTTTGCCCCCAGAAGGCTATGAACTGGCTCAAAAGAGTACATTATCTAATAAATCCAAGGCCATGCTGTGACTCATGGTCAAAGCTGAAATTTTATTTTCTCTACATTTTATTTTCCATTTTAAATTGTGTCCTGGTTGTTTTGTCTAAAATAGACCACCAGAGGCTCTGCAATGAGATTAAATGACAACATTAAGGTACTCCAGTGATAAAATGCAAACATTTAATGTTGCCCTAGAAGCCCCAGATTTAGCATGAGGATGCACTCAGCTAAATCTATTTTGGAGACATTGAATATGAATTGGCTATTAAAAGATATTAAAGAGTTATTGTTAGTTTTATGAGGTGTGATAATGGTGTTGTTCTTTTTATAAAAGTCCTTATCTATTAGAGATTCATACTGAATCATTTAAGGTTAAAATAATATGATGTCTGGAATTATAAATGTTTCAGCAGAAAAACAAACAAAACAAAAAAACAGTCATGTGAACATACTGTAGGGGTAATATGTGTTAGACTATAGATATGTTTAGGTTACCGTGAAAGACCAGGAGCCTAATTCTTCCCAGGAAAGTTAGGATAATGTGATATCTGAGTGTTGAAACCTGTGTAGGAATTTCCTGAGCTAATGGGGTAGGATTACCAGGAAAGAAAATAACATTCTAGAAGGAGGGCATGAGATATGTAAGGGCACATAAGTTTGGAAAAGGATGTTGAAATAGACATGAAGAAGCTCAGAGCAATTCTCCAGAGAAGTTATGCACAACCCTAGTGAAAATATTTGAGGTAAAAGTGTTATTAGTCTTGATTATGCAGAGTAGAAACTAGAGTCAACTTTTCTCCACTGGATCATGCCATTTCAAACTATTTTATATATTTTGTTCAATTAATCTCCTCATTTAGAATGCCATTTTCTTTCTTCTTTATGCAAGCACTAGCAATCTTTTGAGGCAGGACTCAAGAACCCTTTTCAGTCAAAAGCTCTCCTTATTTTATAATCTTCAATTTATAGGTCACTAAATGGCCTCTCTTCTAACTCTTAAGAGTTTGCTATTCAATATGGCACTTGATGAGTTCATCTACAAAATCAGGACAGCTTTATGTGAGATGACCCCATCCCCTTGGATACAAGGGGTTATCTTGAACCAAGCCTAGTGCAATGCTCAGAATGTTGTTAAGACTTATCATGTGGGGCATTTCCCCAAACATAGGGGGTGGGCCAGATGTGGGAAGCCAAAAGTTCATAGATCCAAAGATGCTCTTTAGGGTTGATATCTCGGTTTTACCATCTGGAGGTATAAGAATACAAAATTTAAAAAAGGAAAATGAATGTGATTCCCTGACCTTTCTGAAATGTTACAAAAATGGATGATGTCAGGACTAAAAGTTGAGATTTAATAATATTGGAAGTTCAACATTTCTTTTACATTTTTATTTAACTCTGTCAATTTCAGTTAAGATTTCTCAAAAAAAATGAATGAAAATAGGATCTAAGAATGGATTTGAACTCTATGTTAATGATGTGACTACATTTTGGTTTTTAAGAGCTACACTATGAAAAGACAGGCAAGCACGAGAGTCTTTTAAAAGTATCTAAATCCAAGAAAACAAAAGTTGAACAGAAAAATCATAATATCAGAGAAACAGAACAGCAGACATTTTAGCTCCTTTGTTGTGTGGTACCCAGCATTGTGAAAAGCAGTATCTCTTGGATAATTCAGAGAGAGCTAAAGCATAGGCCAGATCCCCATTAAGGCTGCTCATGAGAGTACAAAACAAATATGTTAATGTGGTTGGTTTGGGCTGAGGACAGAATTCCTTTGCAATTTTTAAGGTCACAACATAATGCATTTTTAAATTATAAACTTAAAAACTAATACACATGGCTAAGCCCAAAGAAAGCTAAACATTAGAGGAAAACATAAATAAGTTGAGTCAATGAGCTTTCTGTCAACATTAACTACTTGTCAATAAGTTACATCAGGGCCGGTTGAGTGGCGCGTTGGTTAGTTGGCTTGGGACGCCAGCTCTGAGCAGCAGGGCCCCAGTTTGGATCCCACATGAAGGACAGTAATGCTGCGCCCTCTACAGCTAAGATGGCAAACAACAGCTTGACCTGGAACTGGGCTGCCATGAGTCGCCGGCAACCACATAGTCTGCAGTGGAGCTGGCTGGCAGCGGGTGTGAGATTTCATGAGCTGCCATGAGCCGCCGTAAGCAGCCATCTAGTGGCTGGCAAGCGACTGCCTCACCCGGGAAGAGCGCAATGATAATACCAACATGGGCCAGAGAAGCGACGTCCTCCACAACTAGACTGAAGAACAAAAGGACAGCAACTTGTCTGTTCCCCTTCCCCAATTCCCCAATTAAAAAAAAAAAGTCACATCAAACAGGAATATTCAGCAAACAGCAGAACAGAGGTACAATGTAGGGGGAGATGGGCTTCTGTCGTTGGTGGTGGAAGGAAGAGAAGTCATAGTATTTTGACAACAGCTAGAACTCTGAAACTTGAAATCCACTTAGCTAATATTATTCACTTGTTTGTAAAACAGAAATGGTCTACGCTTTTATTTCGTTGGTATATTAGTTTCCTATGGCTGCTGCAACAAATTACCAAATTACCAAAAGTTTAGTGACTTAAAACAATACAAATTTATTACCTTACAGTTCTGGAGGTCAAATTTCCAAAATCAGCTTCACTGGGCTATAGTCAAGGTGGTGATAGGTCTGTGTTCCTTCTGGAAGGTCTATGGAAGAATCCACTTCCTGGCATTTTGCAGCAATTGGCTGGCTGCCTGCATTCCTTGGTGTGTGGCCCCTTCCTTCATCTTCAGGACAGCAGCATTGCATCTCCCAGTCTCGCTCGGACTATGACTGTTGCTTCCACCATCATATTTTTTTTCTTTCCCTCTGTTTCCATTGTCACATTATTGTCTCTTATTCTGGCCTCCTGTTTCCCTCTTATAAGGACCCTTATGACTACATCGGGCTCTCTTGGGTAATCCAGGACAATCCTCCAATCTCAAGATCCTTCGCACATCTACAAAGTCCTTTCTGTCATGTAATGTAGCATAGTCACAGGTTCCAAGGATTAGGACATGGATCTCTTTGGAGGCCATTATTCAATCTACAAGAGTTGGCTAGATGGATGATATGGAAAGATATTTTGATTTATGAAAAATTCCATTCTTATTTTACTGGAGAATATAAAGTCTCCATAAAAAAATAAGAGGGAATGCTTTGTAAAAGTACTGTAGCAGTACAGTTAGCTCACAAAAACCTTGCTGAACAGAGCAATTAGTTTCTGAGGAATCCAATAAAATGGGAACATACTGTACTCTAAAGGAATGTTCATCTATGGTTAGTCCCAATCTCTACTTTGTTTTTAATTTACAAAGAGAGTTGAACCACATCTCCCATCTTTTCCTCATCTTCATTGTATCCTGCAATGCCACTAAAAGATTCTTTATGGTATGATTTCACTGGGGGATTAATGGATCATATTGACAGATTAAAATAAAATATTTGAAGTTGCAGTTACATTATATATGGTGAATCACATTGAAAGTCTTAAAAGTATTATTTTTTCTTTCTTTGTTTTTTTTTCTTCCTCCTGCTCCTTTTTTACATAATCTTCAATCTACATATCCTAGTTCAAAGGTTATCTAAACCCAGAGTTTCAACTTTCTGTGTAATGAAGTAATAAGGAAGAAGGGAAAATATTTTATCAACAAGTCCAAGTCTTCCTAACTTTCTCATAATATCCATTAGATACATTTTTTTTCCTATCATAAAAATCTAAGCGTTACCCATTTCTCTGTCTCATTCTCATTGCTATTGTGGGCTCTCCATCTCTTCTGCAAAGCGTCCTCAAATATTCTTACCTCCACTACATGGTCCCTAACAATGGTGACAGTTTCTAGGAGTTAGTTGTCTTCAAGGGTCCCTGCATAGTTGATCTGGGCCATATCAGAAATGCAACCATTTTGCCTCTGTTCCTCTTCAATAATGTTGCCCATGAAATGGCAGAAGGCTCTGACAACTTACCTCCACTGCAACTTCCTCCCTGTATGTGCTGCATGTGGTTGAGTCCCCTGAAACCATGTCATGATCAGTCTACTTCCAACAAGTGATTGGATGGTGGTGCCTACCGCTGAGATGTTAAATACGAAAGGAACAAATCTTCCTTTCTAAGTGTAGGTGAGATTCATTGATGATTTGCCGGTCTACGCTGGATATAAAACTATGTCATATGCAGTACTGCATTTTTTGGACAGGTATATACTGATCACCTGCTATGTGCCAGGCGCTGAGGATGCAACAGTTCACAAGACGACTATGACATTTGTCTTCACGTGGTAAGTTCGAAATACCTCCGGAATAGGCATCATTAGCATTTTGCTAAAGTGCGGAGTAGCAGAGGCTGGCTATATTAAGGCTAATAAACAAAGTCAACTGAGAATCAACTTTTCCTGTGTAGGTGGGTAAAAGAAGAGATGCAACTAGTAAAGGAGGAGGAGAAACATGAGTAGAGGAAAAAAAGGGGGAGAAATGCAGAAGGGGGGGGCAGGGAAGCCGGAAGTAGATCAAGGATGAATGAACTAAGAGGGGTGAAATTCAAATCAAAGGGAAGAGAAAAGTTCCAGCACAGCTATACCCTCCCGGCGGTCTCCCAGACCTGGACCACAGGCCCCAAGCCGGGGTCAAGCATTTTCCAGTCCCCCCGCGCGCGCCGCGCGTCCTAAAGGCGTAGGCTTCTCGGAGCTGCGCGCGGCGCGGCCCTGTGACGTCAGAGGGTCCGAAACTTCCGGATCGGGTGACGCCTTCCGAGGACCGTCACGATAGAGCCCGCTGCCTGCTTGGCTGACAGGTGAGGTTCTGCCTGCCGCGCTCGGGGTGACTTTACGAGGGGAAGGACCGCCGGGCAGGCACGCGGGAGCCGGAGTCCTTCGTCTCTCTGGATCCTCGCCGATCCCGAGCTGCCCTTGGCCAGATGGGGCCCGCAGGGGCGTAAATAACAGCGCTGAGACCGCTCCGGGATTCCGATGCACTTTGGCCGGGATCTGCTTTGGCTGCTGGCCCAGCGATCGCTCCTTGAGCGCGGGAACGTACCATGAATACTACTACTAAATCGCGGCCCCTTTCGGGAGTAGGAGCCAGGACGTTATGCACCTGGCCGGGAAGAAGGGACTAGGAGAGGCGAAACCCTGAGCCGGGTTTTCCAAAGAGCCGAGTACTTTTCCTAGCCCCGGGCCACGCACTCTTCCTCGGTGGGTTTCTGTGTCCCCACTTGGCCGTCAGCGGAGCCGTGAAGCGCTCTTGAGGTTTGGACTCGTGGTTCTCAGAAGGATCAGCTCCTCCCCCACACTTCCCCCAAATTTGTTACTCGGGGCAGCCTTGAAAATTGACTCTGGGGCCAATCTCTGACCTTGACACTCCCCTAACCATGTTTGAGGTTCAGCAGCAGTTACTTTAATAATTCCCTGTGGCGCTAAGGTTAACACGGAGCTTGCGCCCTTGGGTTTAGAGTGCAGCATTTTCGGGAAACCATTAAGGCTTTCTGTTGCCTCTGCACTTACTGTGCATATTTTACGGTAGTAGTCTGTGCCTCAATTTTTCTCATCAGTGCAATGGGGGTTCCTTTAGTGCCCACTTGATAAGGTTATTTTATTAACTGAGATAATTCATTTAGCATTTGGAACAGTGGTTTACACCCAATAAGCATTCAGAGGTCAGCTGTTATAGAATGACCCACCCACACCCACTTCACAGCTCTCTTGATGTTCTTTGCAGCAGGCATTCAGCCCTCACACTGCTTTTCATTTACCCTCAGCGCTGTCACTGTAAACTCTCACCCTTGGGCTTTTTATTTTTCTGCACAAGACAGGTTGCAGGTGGGACACTGTATTCTTTGATTCACAGGTTTAGAAGCAGCAAAGGAGTTATGAAAAATAATTTGTTCCTTTTTCAGGTAAAGACAATTCAGCAAGTTCATCATGAGTATAGTATGTGCTTTAGTTTTGTATTTCCTCAGTGGTGGTGATGGATTTTATATTCATCATATAAGCTTGCTCTTCTGACCCAGTTGCATGGGTTTGAGAAGAATCTCACTAGAGATTA